GCAGCCGTTAATAACAAACTAACACCGTTACTTCTTAGTTGATTTTCGGCACAAGTACCTTTAAAAAAAAATAATTACATCATCGTAATCTCCATTAAAAACCCTTTAAAATGAGCCCAAACACGATGGGGTTATCTCAAAAAATAATTAATTCAAGATGGCGCTTTTTCATTTTCCGCCATCTTGAATTAATTATTTTTTTAATCATTTTTAATTTAAAAACCCTTTAAAATGAGACCAAACTCGATGGGTTTATCTCTAAAAATAATTGATTCAAGATGGCGCTCGTTCATTATCCGCCATCTTGAATTTATTATTTTTTCAATCATTTTTAATTTAAAATTCCTTTAAAATGAGACCAAACTCGATGGGGTTATCTCAAAAAATAATTAATTCAAGATGGCGCTCTTTCATTTTCCACCATCTTGAATTAATTATTTTTTNTCAAAATGGCGGATAATAAACAAGCGCCATCTTGAATTAATTATTTTTTGAGATAACCCCATCGAGTTTGGGTTCATTTTAAAGCACTTTTAATTTTTTTTAACTTACCATTACTCGTAAAATTAAACGCCCACGTTCCTTTAACACCCGGTATAACATCGCGATTACAATTTCCCGACAATCCGCTTATCATCAACACGTGCGCTCCGTTTCCGGGCCCGCTTCCATACGCACCCCCAATCCCCCCGTTTCCACCGCCGTTTCCACCTCCACCTCTCCCAAACCCCATATTCATATCGGCGACTGTCATCATACCCCCACCACCATTCCTGCTACCCCCACTAAACGTATACACGAAACAATATCGCATCGAATCGGTCGCTCGCCTCGTTAAAGGTGACGTAATCACGAAAAACGTATTATTTTCCTCCCAGCTTCCGTGACAAGTAAATCCGGCGATCGGTTGTTGTATACAGGGTGTTCGAAATTCCATTACTTCTTGGGAGCCCCCGCATCCGACTGCCAAGGCTTCGAAATCGTTCGAGATGCACTCCGGGGGTAGGTGTTGGGGGTGGTTTAATGAGGGGTCTAAAGAAATCGACTGTTTTTGGTTGGGGTTAAAGTTTGGGTTAGGGTTGGAGTTTGAGTTGGAGTTAGGGGTGGATTGGGTGGAGGGTTGTTGACGTTTCTTGCGACGTTCTTCGGTGGTGGAAGATCCTGGGGTTGGTTCGAGAGTGTAACGACCCAAGTGCGGGCAATTTTGTGGATGGAGAGTTGTTGCTAAACAAAAAAAATTATATATAATTATATTTATCAAATTAGGAATAAAAAATCCTTTAAAATGAGCCCAAACTCGATGGGGTTATCTTTAAAAATAATTGTATCGTAGAGGGCGCTCGTTGATTTTCCGCCATATTGGAAATAATTAATTTTAAATATAATTATTTATTAGATATCTTTCATGCTTTGTTATGAAAAATATTTGATTATTAATGTGTCTACTAAAAATTTTACTTTGGGAGAAATGTTGAGTGTAGACCACCGACTATATAACATTTTTTTGATACATATTTAAAAATTTTATATTTCACATTATAAAATCGATATTCGTCATTGTAACTTCTTAAAAACGTTTTTTATATTTTGAAGCTATCAATTTAGCTAAATGTTGAGTGTAGTCCACCGTTTTTGACTTTTTAGATATCCAAATATATTTTTCTTTACTTGTTAACGTTGAGATTTTTCGAAATTGTTATTTTTCCTAACTTAGCAAAAATATAGAGTGTAGACCACCGATTTTGATCTTTTTGATATTAATTTATTTTGATCTTAATGTTTCTTAATATACAGTGTTCTTAATTTATTAAAGTTAACATTATTGCGAATTTTAAATTTTACTCATTTGGAAGAGAACGTTGAGTGTAGACCACCAATTTTATTATTGTTATTATAAGAAATTTTTTATTATAAAATTTACATTTTTCATCTTTAGTTGATCTCAAGGGTTTTTAATATTTTATTAATTTACTAATTTAACAAAAAGGTGGAGTATAGACCACCGATTTTGATCTTTTTGATCTTAATTTATTTTGATTTTAACGTCTCTTAATATAATATAGTTTTCTTAATTTATTAATGTTAAAGTTTTTAAACAATATTTCGTTCTAATTTAGGGAAAAAATGTTGAGTGTAGACCGACTTTGACTTTTTATTTCAAAAATTGATATTTCACGTTATATGGGTACATTTTTCTTAATGAATTAAAGATGAGGTTGTTTAGAATTAATACTTTTACTAATTTGGGAGAAATGGTTGAGTGTAGACCATCGATTAGAGTCTTTTTGATGTTTAAAGATCAATGTTTTAACTAATTTCTCTTAATATGTTTTTTTTTTATTTTTTAAAGTTTTTTCCAATTTGTAATTTTAAATATTTCGAAGAAAACGTGGAGTGTAGACCACCGACTTATTGTTTTTCATATGAAAACAATTACTATTTCTCGTCGTATACATACATTGTTGTTAAATTAAATATGAGGTTGTTTAGAATTGACATTTACTAATCTTGGAGATAAGGTTCAGTGTAGACCACCGGCTTTGGTCTATTTAATATTTTTTAAAATCGATATTTGAAATAATCTCTCCTAATATATAGTTTTCGTGCTTTATTAAAGTTAAAATTTTTATCAATTTTTAATTATAATCATTTGGAAGAAAACGTTGAGTGTAGACCACCGATTTTATTATAGTTATTAGCAGAAAATTTTTATTATAAAATTTACATTTTTCATCATTTGTTATTAATATCGAGGCTTTTTGATATTTGTTAATTTGCTAATTAAACAAAAAAGTGGAGTGTAGACCATCGATTATATGATTTTTTTTTATAGAATTTTAAAAATGTTATAACCATAAAATTCAGTCTTTTGATCATTAAAATTGGTATTGTTTGATGTTAACATATTAATTTTGCAAAAAACGTTGACTGTAGACCACCGATTTTATGACATTTTTATTCACTACTAGTTTTAAACATTGACGTTTCTCGTCACTATTTTCTAAATTTATTAAAAATTAATCATTTTTTTGGCAATTTTAATAGGTTAAAAAAACATTGAGTGTAGACCATCAATTCTTTGACTACTTTTTAATACATTTGCCACATTATAAAGCACACAATCTTCTTTATTTGTTGAAATTGGCGTTATTTGATATTGTTAGAGTTATTAATTCATTGATTTAGCAAAAACGTTGATTGTAGACCATTAATTTTGACATTTCCACTATAAAAACTTTAGAAAGTGAAATTTTTGTTATAATTATATATTTCTCTCAATTTTTTGAGATTAAAAACTCAGAATTATTACATTTTTAAATTTAGCAAAAAGGTTGAGTGTAGACCATTTCATGAATTTTCCTAGATTTATATTATTAATACTTCTCATTATGTATTATTTCGTCATTATTAATAAAGTTAATATTTTTTTAGGAAAATTTTAATTTTTATGAAAAAATTTGAGTGTAGACCATTTATTTCGAATTTTTGATAACACTTTCAAAATCCATATCAAATTTCCTTTAATTTAAGTCCAAACTCGGCTAAAATCGGGTAAAATCAACCCAAAACGTCAAAAAACAATTAGGCGCCATTTTGTTGTCGACATCGTTTGTTTTTTATGTTAAAAAATGACATTTCCGCCATTTTTAAACATAAATACGTCGTGTTTGGTGTCGTTTTAAACGATTTTTAATTTCCTTTCGATTTTTGGATATTTTAATAGATTTTTTAAATTGCTAATTAAACAAACAGGTGGAGTGTAGACCATCGATTTTATGACTTTTCCAGATTTTTAAAAATTGTATAATTTCATAAAATTCACAATCTTAAAATGTCATTAAAATTAGCATTATTTGATGTTAGCTTATTAATTTACCAAAAAACGTTGATTGTAGACCACCGATTTTATGACATTTTTAGTTTTAAAGGTCACTATTTTACATAAATCTAAATTTATTAAAATTAATCTTTTTTTTTTCGTAATTTTAATAGGTTAAAAAAACATTGAGTGTAGACCATTAATTTTGACATTTCCCCTATAAAAATTTTTGAAAGTGAAATTTTTGTTATAATTATACATTTCTCTAAATTTGTTGACATTAAAAACTTAGAATTGTAAAATTTTTTAATTTAGTAAAAAGGTTGAGTGTAGACCATTTCAAGAATTTTCCTAAATTTATATTATTAATACTTCTCATTATGTACTATTTCGTTATTATTAATAAAGTTAATATTTTTTAGGGAAATTTTAATTTTTATGAAAAAGTTGAATGTAGACCAATTATTTCGAATTTTTGATAACACTTTTAAAATTCATATCAAATTTCCTTTAATTCAAGTCTAAACTCGGCTAAAATCGGGCAAAATCAATCTAAAACGTCAAAAAACAATTAGGCGCCATTTTGTTGCCGATATCGTTTGTTTTTTATGTTAAAAAATGTCATTCCGCCATTTTTAAAGATAAATATGTCGTGTTTGGTGTCGTTTTAAAAGATTTTTAATTTCCTTTCTATTTTTGGATGTTTTAATCGATTTTTTTAAATTGCTAATTTAACAAACAGGTGGAGTGTAGGCCATCGATTTTATGACTTTTCCAGAATTTTAAAAATTGTATAACTTCATAAAATTCATAGTCTTAAAATGTCATTAAAATTAGCATTATTTGATGTTAGCTTATTAATTTAGCAAAAAACGTTGATTGTAGACCACCGATTTTATGACATTTTTAGTTTTAAAAGTTGACGTTTCTCATCACTACTTTACGTAAATCTAAATTGTTTGTTATAATTATACATTTCTCTCAACATTTTTACATAAAGAACTCAGGATTGTTACATTTTTGAATTTAATAAAAAGGTTGAGTGTAGACCATTTCAAGAATTTTCCTAAATTTATAGTATCTCATTACGTATTATTTCGTCATTATTAATAATGTTAATATGTTTTTAGGGAAATTTTAATTTTTATGAAAAAGTTGAGTGTAGACCCCCGATTTTATGACATTGTTGTGAATCAAAATATTAAAAAAAAAACTAATTATAAAAAGTGGGCTACGACTACTGTATTTTTATAAAAAAAAAAATGATTAACGAAAAATATAAATAATATGAAAAAGTCAATATAAGATTGTAATTAATAAAATTGTTAATAAACATTATCATATTGAAGAAATCGTATAATTTTCCGATAATTAACATCGACGAGAAAAAGAGTCTTAATAACATTTTTAGTTTTAAAAGACACTATTTTACATAAATCTAAATTTATTAAAATTAATCTTTTTTTTAGTAATTTTAATAGGTTAAAAAAAACATTGAGTGTAGACCATTAATTTTGACATTTCCCCTATAAAAATGTTAGAAAGTGAAATTTTTGTTATAATTATACACTTTTCTCAATTTTTTGACATAAAAAACTCAGAATTGTTACATTTTTGAATTTAGTAAAAAGGTTGAGTGTAGACCATTTCAAGAATTTTCCTAAATTTATATTATCTCATTATGTATTATTTCGTCATTATTAATAAAGTTAATATTTTTTTAGGAAAATTTTAATTTTTATGAAAAAATTTGAGTGTAGACCATTTATTTTGAATTTTTGATAACACTTTCAAAATCCATATCAAATTTCCTTTAATTTAAGTCCAAACTCGGCTAAAATCGGGTAAAATCAACCCAAAACGTCAAAAAACAATTAGGCGCCATTTTGTTGACAACATCATTTGTTTTTTATGTTAAAAAATGAGATTTCCGCCATTTTTAAAGATAAATACGTCGTGTTTGGTATCGTTTTAAAGTATTTTTAATTTCCTTTTGATTTTTGGGGGTTTTAATCGATTTTTTTAAATTGCTAATTAAACAAAAAGGTGGATTGTAGACCATCGATTTTATGACTTTTCCAGAATTTTAAAAATTGTATAACTTCATAAAATTCATAGTCTTAAAATGTTATTAAAATTAGCATTATTTATCTTTTTTTAGTAATTTTAATAGGTTAAAAAAACATTGAGTGTAGACCATTAATTTTGACATTTCACCTATAAAAATTTTTGAAAGTGAAATTTTTGTTATAATTATATATTTCTCTCAATCTTTTGACATTAAAAACTCAGAATTGTAAAATTTTTTAATTTAGTAAAAAGGTTGAGTGTAGACCATTTCAAGAATTTTGCTAAATTTATATTATCTCATTATGTATTATTTCTTCATTATTAATAAAGTTAATATTTTTGTAGGAAAATTTTAATTTTTATGAAAAAGTTGAGTGTAGACCATTTATTTCGAATTTTTGATAACACTCTCAAAATCCATATCAAATTTCTTTTAATTTAAGTCCAAACTCGGCTAAAATCGGGTAAAAACAACACAAAACGTCAAAAAAGAATTAGCCGCCATTTTGTTGTCGACACCGTTTGTTTTTTATGTTAAAAAGTGACATTTCCGCCATTTTTAAAGATAAATACGTCGTGTTTGGTGTCGTTTTAAACGATTTTTAATTTCCTTTCGATTTTTGGATATTTTAATCAATTTTTTTAAATTGCTAATTTAACAAACAGGTGAGTGTAGACCATCGATTTTATGACTTTTCCAGAATTTTAAAAATTGTATAGCTTCATAAAATTCATAGTCTTAAAATGTTATTAAAATTAGAATTATTTATCTTTTTTTTAGTAATTTTAATAGGTTAAAAAAACATTGAGTGTAGACCATTAATTTTGACATTTCATCTATAAAAATTTTTGAAAGTGAAATTTTTGTTTTTGTTTAAATCTTTTGACATTAAAAACTCAGAATTGTACAATTTTTTAATGTAGTAAAAATGTTGAGTGTAGACCATTCCAAGAATTTTGCTAAATTTATATTATCTCATTATGTATTATTTCGTCATTATTAATAAAGTTAATATTTTTTTAGGAAAATTTTAATTTTTATGAAAAAATTTGAGTGTAGACCATTTATTTTGAATTTTTGATAACACTTTCAAAATCCATATCAAATTTCCTTTAATTTAAGTCCAAACTCGGCTAAAATCGGGTAAAATCAACCCAAAACGTCAAAAAACAATTAGGCGCCATTTTGTTGTCGACATCGTTTGTTTTTTATGTTAAAAAGTGACATTTCCGCCATTTTTAAAGATAAATACGTCGTGTTTGGTATCATTTTAAAGGATTTTTAATTTCCAATCTAACTAAAAGGTTAATTAATTAATTAATTGATTTACTTACTTATTAAGGTTGTATACGGAGTATTAATCGGATCAAAATTTTTACAAGCGTCATCGGCGTTCTCTTCATAACCAGTTTCGTGCCCGGATTGTTGTATTTCGATAACCCCGGAGTCGCGTTTATGAAAAACCATGCAAATATATCCGCTATCACTAAAAAAAATGATATAAAATTAATTTAATTAATTTTTATTTAAAATAATTTAATTTATCTCACCATCCATGTGTAATATGAGCAACAATCTGCACTTTTCTTTGTTCGACCGATTGCAAAATACTATGACACACCACCCTCATTTCAGCGTTAGTTTTTCTTTGTTCTTGCGATTCAAACCCCAACGTTTGAAACGCGAATTGTGCCGCGTAATTATCGTGTCTTTGCCGCGACGGCGTCAACAATTTCGGATCTTCATCGACGATTTTTAACGTTGCGTTTCGTTGCGAAAACTTGTAAGTTTTTTTATGATCCAAACTCAACCAAGTGTGGTGGTCGGTTATCCAAGTTGGGAATTTGCAACGATTATGATGGTTATCAACTGTTCGCAACTTCATCGTTTTGGATCCTTCCAACGCGTTTGTAATTCCATTACAAGACGCATCGCCCGATTGCGCTATATTATAAATAACTTCGCCATCTCTTCCGATTACTCTTTGGTAAATAAAACATCGGAATTGGTCTTCATCGGTATTTAAACTGCGACGATTCCATTGGGATATTTTCCCGACTAAATATCTCGTTGAACCCTCTTTCCAAACCGCTAAACATATTAATTCTTCGACGTTACTTTCCGTACCTGGTACATCGGGACACGCTTGATATTTCAAAACCAATCTTGAATCATCAGTACAACTTTCCGCTTTACTTGGGGGATTCGTACATTCCTCGCTGCCTTTATTATATTGAAACGTGAAAGGTGCGCTTTTAAACGGACAAGGAATCGGCTTTGCTTCGGGAATTTTTCGAAACATGCTGTATAGCGGGGCATCCCCGGATATATCGTAACAGATATCTTGGGAGGATGGTTCGCAAAACGTTTCTTTGTATTGGAGCACGCTTGGATGTTTTACGTGGATCGCCATGCATCGGTAACAATTTTCTGAACGATCGTAGACCACGACTTTTTCGCCTTGTTCTTCGTAACACTCGCCTTTCGTTTCGATGTAGGTCGAGTTGATTTGGATGTGGCTGATGACGCCCGATTGAAACCATTTTCCCGACCATTGTTTTGGAAATTGACAACTACCTGGAATTTAAAACAAAAATTATTCATTTCGATTTAATCGATTTATAATTATATTCATCGAATTAGAAATAAAAAATCCTTTAAAATGAGCCCAAACTCGATGGGGTTATCTTTAAAAGCACCAAAGTTACCCCTAAAATAAAAAAAACACCCTTTACAATCCGCCATTTTGATTTTTTTTATGTTAATAGCAATCCCATCGTGTTTGGGCTCATTTTAAAGCATTTTTAATGTTGATTAAGAATATAAAAAAATTGACTTCGAGTCATTTTGATTTAATAAATTTAATAAAAAAAAAATTTTTAAATAATTATTAAATTGTATTTCATCGAATTAGAAATTAAAAATCCTTTAAAATGAGCCCGAACTCGATGGGGTTATCTTTAAAAGCACCAAAGTTACCCCTAAAATAAAAAAAACACCCCTTTATAATCCGCCATTTTGATTTTTATTTATTTTAATAGCAACCCCATCGTGTTTGGGCTCATTTTAAAGCATTTCTAATGTTGATTAAGAATATAAAAAAATTGACTTCGAGTCATTTTGATTTAATAAATTTAATAAAAAAAAAATTTTTAAATAATTATTAAATTGTATTTCATCGAATTAGAAATTAAAAATCCTTTAAAATGAGCCCGAACTCGATGGGGTTATCTTTAAAAGCACCAAAGTTACCCCTAAAATAAAAAAAACACCCCTTTATAATCCGCCATTTTGATTTTTATTTATTTTAATAGCAACCCCATCGTGTTTGGGCTCATTTTAAAGCATTTCTAATGTTGATTAAGAATATAAAAAAATTGACTTCGAGTCATTTTGATTTAATAAATTTAATAAAAAAAAAATTTTTAAATAATTATTAAATTGTATTTCATCGAATTAGAAATTAAAAATCCTTTAAAATGAGCCCGAACTCGATGGGGTTATCTTTAAAAGCACCAAAGTTACCCCTAAAATAAAAAAAACACCCCTTTACAATCCGCCATTTTGATTTTTTTTTATGTTAATAGCAACCCCATCGTGTTTGGGCTCATTTTAAAGCATTTTTAATGTTGATTAAGAATATGAAAAAATTGACTTCGAGTCATTTTGATTTAATCAATTTTATAAAAAATTTTTTTTAAATAATTATTAAATTATATTCATCGAATTAGAAATTAAAAATCCTTTAAAATGAGCCCAAACTCGATGGGGTTATCTTTAAAACCACTAAAGTTACCCCTAAAATAAAAAAACACCCCTTTAAAATCCGCCATTTTGATTTTTTTTGTTTTAATAGTAACCCCATCGAGTTTGGGCTCATTTTAAAGCATTTTTAATGAGGATTAAGAATATAAAAAGAAATTTGAATTAATTTCGAAATTGTCAAAAAAAATTGATTTCGATCAATTCTAATAACCTCTGAAAAGGGGGAAAAAAATTCGCTTCATCTCCGTCAATTATTAAGCGAACGCGTTCGGTAAACAATAACGTAACTTATCAGAAATCGGATTTATTCTATATAAAAATGAGGTGAATTTAAAAAAAAAAATTTTAATAATACTTTTATAATCTACACAAAAAATCCTTTAAAACGAGCCCAAACTCGATGGGGTTATCTTTAAAAACAAAAATTTCGAAATTTCAAAATGGCGGATCAAACAATCGACGATCGTTTTATTAAAATCATCGTAATTTGGGTAATTTTAAAGATAACTTTGCCGTGTTTGGACTCGTTTTGTAGGATTTTTCATTTTCTACATAATTTTGATGGTCTACACTCAACTTTCTCAAATTTATTTGTGACACCAAGTTATTCATCAAATTAAAAGATTTTTAATAAATTTTTCGATTCCAAACTCGATATATCTAGGTTTTATAACACTCAATTAGGTTATAATGATTTTTAGACAAATTCAAGATTCATCTTTCTGCAAATTTTTGAGATAAATATGTCGTGTTTGGGCTTAAATTAAACATCTGTTTCTCGGAAACGTGAAAATTCAAGTAATTTTTTATTTTTTTCTTATTCATAGATGGCGTTTCCTATCAAAATTTAATATAGGTTATCTTACAGCAATTAAAATTAATTATAATCGTATTCATCGAATTAGAAGTTAAAAATCCTTTAAAATGAGCCCAAACTCGATGGGGTTATCTTTAAAAGCACCAAAGTTACCCCTAAAATAAAAAAACACCCCTTTAAAATCCGCCATTTTGATTTTTTTTTATTTTAATACTAACCCTATCGAGTTTAGGCTCATTTTAAAGCATTTTTAATGAGGATTAAGAATATAAAAAGAAATTTGAATTAATTTCGAAATTAGTTATCAAAAATCGGATTTACTCTATATGAAAATGAGGTGGAATGAAAAAAAAATTTTTTTAATAATACTTTTGTAATCTACACAAAAAATCCTTTAAAATGAACCCAAACTCGATGGGGTTATCTCAAAAAATAAACATTTTGAAATTTCAAAATGGTGGATCAAACAATCGACGATCGTTTTATTAAAATAATCGTAATTTGGGCGTTTTTCGAGATAACTTAGCCGTGTTTGGATTAGTTTTAAAGGATTTTTAATTTTTTATACGATTTTGATGATCTACACTCGACGATCTCGAATTTTTGAGTGGTTCTAATAAATTAATAAATGTTTCTTATGAATAAAACGAGGGGTAAAGTAAAATTAGAAATCGACATATTAATCATAAAGAGGGTGAGGTGATATATTAAAAATGTCATTTTTGTTAGGCGCCATCTTGAATTTTGCTTAAAATTAACATAACCTAATCGAGTGACATATCAAATTAAAGGATTTTTAATAAATATTAAGAAAATAATATTAAAAAAAAATTTTAATTGTTATAAGATAACCAATATTAAATTTTATTAGGAAACGCCATCTATGAACAAGTAGAAAATGAAAAATGATTTCAATTTTCATGTTTTCGAGAAATAGATGTTTAATTTAAGCCCAAACACGACGTATTTATTTCAAAAATTGTCGTAAAAATGAAATGACATTAAAGACGCCATCTTGGATTTCTCTAAAAATCATTATAACCTAATTGAGTGACATATCAAATTGAAGGATTTTTAATAAATATTAAGAAAATGATAATAAAAAAGTTTTTAATTGTTACAACAGAACCTATATTAAACATTAATAGGAAACGCCATCTATCAATAAAGAAAAAATAAAAAATGACTTCAATTTTTATGTTTCCAAGGAATAGACGTGTAATTTAAGCCCAAACACGACGTATTTATCTCAAAAATTGTCATAAAGATGAAATGACATTACAGACGCCATCTTGAATTTCTCTAAAAATCATTATAATCTAATCGAGTGATATATCAAATTGAAGGATTTTTAATAAATATTAAGAAAATGATAATAAAAAAATTTTTAATTGTTGCAACATAACCTATATTAAATATTAATAGGAAACGCCATCTATTAATGAAGATAAAATAGAAAATGATTTCAATTTTTATGTTTCCGAGAAATAGACGTTTAATTT